TTTCAACCACTCTGCATCAGAATAATGCTTATCTATTATCAGCCACCAATTCTCTCGTCTAAAGTTATCAAAAAATATAATGGCACTCACATCATACAGCAACAGCTTAATCAGAAAGTTTTTATCTTCGGAATGTATATTGGAATTGCTAGTATAGATATAGTGAAATCTTGATGTAAGTAAGTGCTGCTATTTTACATTTTTGGCTACCTGAATTAAAGTCATCAGTTCACGATTTGTACCCGTCATTGAGCCATGATACAGTACCGGTACTACTGTACCAGACTATCACCTAGACTAGACCAAGTTTATATCGCCTTTTGACCATCCAGTATTTTCTTTTTTTTCGTCTGATCACTTTTCTGAATAACATGGACAAGATGACAATATATCGACGCCTTCGGTTTATCCTCCGCTGGTTCAGTCTTAGGAAAAAGCGCCAACATACGGCTATTAGGATAGTGAAATAACTAACAAATAGCGACTCTGGTACGTCTACCATAAAGTTGTTCATTTTGATTTTGTGAAAGAGTAAAACTAAATAGGCAATTGATTAAAATAAAACAGTGACCATTCCCAAAAAAGAAATTTTCAAACTGTTTTTTTGTAATTTCATTATTTTTAATTTTTAATTAAAATAAAAAGTTTAAATGTGTTAGCTTATTTTACTTAATACCACCACATGACCAAACTCAAAAGTCTAGTAGAAGAAGCTCTAAAGTTTCGTGAAAATATTGACCTGGGGTCGCACTGGACACTTGAAAGTTGTCTTTGGGGTCGTCCTGAGGAAAGCTTGGGAACCCCCGAGCTGGATCTACGGCATATGGCCTAATTGCGACTTCCGGCGGATGGATTTCATGAATCGAACAAAACAATTTCCCCTTTGTCCGAGTTCAGTGAGTTGATTACTAGTTTTAAAGTACGAGTTACAAAATTGTTTGTTCATAGTTTCAAAATCAAATGTTTTTAGAAATACATATTTGTGGTCATTTAAATTCTGGGGGCTTTCCAAATTGTTTTCTTTGATTGCGTATTAGTGGGTTTTGAAGTAATAGCTGATGTAAAATATCTATTTATACTCAATCTTATGAATATATATATTAATATAAATAAAACGAATAAAAATCCATAGTTGGCGACATCGTATCCTATATAAAGTTTGAAACAGGGGCACGCTTCACCAATATATAATCAACATGCAAACATATTTAGCATATGTGCACTTTTTGGTATGTTGCACTATATACATTCATCAATAATAAAACAATACAACTAATAATAAAAAGTATTAGGAAAGATCACTCAAATCATGCTCTGGTACCCTGGGATTTGAGCCCGTCTATTTTGGTATATATATGCAATTAAATTTTAGCATACAAAAGTGGGATAAAATTACTGCCAAATAGCAGTTTGAAAGTGGATCACTCGAAAAAACGGACTTAGGTATAATGTATCTGTTAGTGTAACCCAGTCGCTGTCAACAACTTTTTTACAGTATCATGGGATGTTTTTTATGAAAATGCATTTATATTTAAGCTTATGCATGGAGGTGGAAAACTCGTGTCCGGAAATCATGGACCGCCATTGACCAAAAGCTGCATGTTGATTCGTAGATATCAAAGTGTTTTAGTTCTGTCTGCCAGATCGATTCAAAATCCAAACGACTCGTTTTCCTTACAACGGGTGATCGCCAATCCGACAAAATCCACGGGTGGTTTTATAGACCCCATTCTAAATCAAATCCGATTACCACGAAAACAAAAAAGCATCGATAGGGTCGAGAGTTCTACGAGCATATACAGCCACAATATGCATTTCAGTTAACTTATATACATCCAAACAAATATACATATTTAGCCAGTGCCATATACAACACCAAGTGCCAATGTGCGTTGTCGTAACTGGATGGCAGGTGTTCAAGTAAATATCATAATAAACAGGACTCCGGGGGGCAAGTTTGGATCGGTTTGACCAGGAAGAACATGCATGCTATTACGTGGAAATTGAGTACTTGACTAATGCCAATTGATCCATCGGATTTGCTTTGTATTTATGTGTTCTTTCAAAATTCTCGAAAGTATTTTGAATACAAGTTAAGCAGTAAAATATGAAAACCTTTAGCCTACCCAGCCATCCTCAGAATTATACCAACGTCTGTGGGAAAAAGGGAAACATTTTCTGCTGTGGGCGCTGCAAAGATTAGAAGTAGGCTGAATGACGACACGTTGAACGCAATTATTGTCTTACACCAATTAAAAAATGAACGAGATGTAAAATATAAAAATCAATGAATTTTCGTTATTTTAAAACTGAAAGCTTTTTTTAGAAAGATAATGAAAGCCATGAAAACCGGTTTCAGATTGCTGAAATCCAAAACCAGTGTTCAAATTATTAGACCTTAGGTACATGCAGTGCCGATGCGGTTGCCATTGGTAATAAACTGTCGACAAAACATTTGCATTAATGTTTAGTGCAAACTATCATTACTCACGATACATTTTATTTAATTTCAAAATTCAGATTAACATTGCTATTTATCTGCGTCAGAAGGCTTTGTTCTGTCCACAACACCGACTTATCTGATTTGTGTGGGATCGGGAGAGGACTTAGGTCTTAGAGTTAGCACATCAGTGGCGTAGCCAGGGGAATGGTTTTGCGGGTCGAAACCCCCTTTTGAAATGTAAAAAAAATAAAATCAATTTTCTGTGTCATAGATAGCAGTTTTCCGTAGCTTGAAATGCTTTTTAGACCTCCAAGACTACTGAAAGCACGCGTATTCCTGGCTACGCCCCCGTAGCACATCTTCAATCTACAAACTTATTTATAGTGGTTTAATAAAGTGATTATGATGCAATAATGAGGTAAAGGGGTTTTCTTCGAGACGAGCTAATTTGTCTGCGACTTTTATTGCATTGTGTTTATGTCGTGCTCAATTGGGTTCCACTGTACACTTTTCAAACGTCCAGCTGGTAGAAATTAGGATTAAATTAATTAGAAACCATGAATTTAACACAAGGTATTTGGAAAATATAAAATGCCAGATTGATGCAAAAAACTGCCCCTACTAATTATTATAGCATGTCCCTTAAGATAATCTGAAAAATGTCTGATAATTAGACAAAGGAAGAAATCACAGTTATCGTTTCGCGGTTTTTACCAATTTGATTATATTAGTGACCGACTTATATATTATTCTTGTAATGACTCATTCTGCTTTATTCGGGATTGGTGTTTATAGGTTATCTAGAGAATTTTAATATTGAAATATGAACGATATCCCATCATTCCGCTAATTATTATATAATTCAATATAGATGGGGCAATATGCGTGCTGAACCAAATAGGATATTGCAATCCCCTTTACATTAGGTTTTACATCGGTAGGAAACAAAGAGTGTGCAATGGAGTAATCTCATTTAAAAACATGGACCGCTTTTCCATCGTCGTAACTGTTTGCAACTTTTCATTTTTATTTAGTGTATTGAAAAATAATATTCGATTTTTAAATGATAAGGGCTGGTCACATTCTCGTTCAATATATTTGAATTATATGGACGGGAAAACGATACACAACGCCAATCATTTACGCATCATTGTGATTGTGTTGTGACTAATTGACTGCTCAGCTGTATTCGAATCCGTACTCATTTCGCTGCATGTGGGGATTTGGCGTAAATTGTCCACTTGTGTGATATTTTATTTTGGTTTTGATGATAAAGTATGATATTGAATGAAGGGTTAAACACTGTCTGTATTTCACCCCTTTTTGTCTATATCTCCAGTTTGTATCTCGAGAGCCTTCACGGCGAGGGATGGAAATTTGAGTTGTCTTAATTGAAATATTAAATGTTACGTCACAGTGAAGAAAGTGAAAAAAATAACCATAGACGGATGATTTTGAAGACGCGACTGTCAAAAAAACTGGTAATAATCGCAGGAAAATATTTTGTTTATCTGGAAATATTTACCAAGAATTTGGCAAACCAAAAAAATTCTGGATATGTTATTATCGAATAATGAAATTCATTGGCCATAGAGATAACTTTTTTACTTAATTGCGCGTTCGTTCTCACAGATTTTTTTTTACCTTACAGGCAATCAAGATGTACGAGTCAAGGGATATAAAGGTGTGTAAGTTAAGGTAAAGTTTCGTCCTCGTAAAAAAATAGTAAACACTTCGATTTCAGATTTCGCTTCCAAATCTTGAAACAGTTTTTGCCTTAAAGGAACGTTTAAGCCGTTTTCAACAAAATATTCTATAAGATATACATTGCGAAATCATCTCTAACATCACCAGCAGGGGCTATTGAAAATATATTTTTTTAAATGATATCAAACGAGAACAAGAAAAAAAAAGCGCCAGAGAACTATAATTCCAAAATGATAATATTGATACCCCCAGTGACCGAATAAAAGGTTTAGTTTGGGTATATCATTCAAAACTACAAATTGGATAGAATAATAACTTGAACGTTGGTGAGTTTAGTTCTAAAATTAATTGTGAGTTCGACGAATCGGCATTTTGATGTCCACCTCAATTTGTGATATTTGAACTTGGTACACAAATTGCGTTTGGACAATCAAGGAGCCGTCGCCAAGATCGCATTCAACATTTACTTGACAATCCAGGAAGATAATAACGAACACTCTATTCTGATTTACATGCGGATGGAAGGATTTTCAAATCATCATGCCAGTAACGAATTCCGCGGTTGTAATTGAAAGATTTTGAAAGTTTCAGAATTCCCACGCGATAACATTTACTTGAAAGATGGCAACTTATCAAGCTTCGAATGTAAAGTACAACGACAGGAAAGGAGAGTGTAAATCATTCCATTGATAAAACAAACCAACGCATTTTTTGCTTTGTTGAAAACTAGTTTATTAGATACTCCCTTTCAGTTCTAGCCTGCCATCAATTTGATTTGGTACAATTTCATGCGTGTGTAAAGCGTAAATGTATATACTAACAATGGGCCACGTATGACGTGAGCATTTTTCTCACTGAAATCAATCTGTGGAATCCGAAGTTTAACAACTTTCCTAGTCTGAGTAGCTTCCGCGTGCCACAGCCCACAATATAAAAAAGTTTTGCCATCTGCGATTTTTAATAACCAACATTCCTCTTCGAAATAACGTGCGAACGTAACATGTGAAGCCTTTCTTGACGTAATAATCTGAGAATAATAAGGAATCACCATAGAATAAAACAGTTACCCTAGCGTTCTGATTCTCTCAACATGTCAACAATTTACTTTACAAAAACTGAACAATTTTTCGGGAGTTGTTTAATTTCTGGATGATTAATTTAATTTTTGTGAAATATGAAAATATTTTTGTTTTTCGTCCAAACGTGATGCAGTCATATCGATCAGTCGTCAAAATTAGCTTCCGTTACAGCGACGGCCAATATTGATTTAAAGGTAGAAGAAATAAGGAAATGTTTCAGTGTACAATGTTAAACATATATACTGATTTACATTACTCAGTTTAGTGAACAAATTAATACTCACCATGTTAATATTAATTAAAGTATTCAAACTTCTCGTGAGTATGATGTCAGACAAATTCAACAGCAATATTCAATGATGTTGATAGTCAAAGTCAAAAGATTAGTAGCCACCACAGTTTTATTATAATTTTCAACGTACGGACGTACTACAGTTTAAATCACATCTTTAAATCAATTCACAAAGGCATTTGTACCTGTACAGATGCTGTCTTAGATTCGTCATTTCCAACAACTCATCCCCATTCAAACTTCAAAATTTTCTGATATGCTTTCATTGATGAATACCAAACTCAGAAACTGGGAATAACCCGACCCTGCGAATAGGAATGGATTAGTTATATGTGGCCAGAAGTTCGCAATATTATACAGCAAATGTCCCCACTACGTTACTGATCTTAGCAGAATAGTACCATCGACCAGTGCAGTGGGATAAATTATTAATGCCGAATGAGTAAGAAACACTGATTCTGAATCCCGTTTACAGTCAATAATAAAACAGGGCAAAAATATATATTTGGTCTCTGTTCTTTGTATGAATAATATTGCCAGTGTTGAAAGATATAGCTATGTCGACGTTTTTTATCGTACTGTTTACAGGGATATTTTTATTTGTTATATTAATCACGTCCAATCGGCTAGAGGCAGAAACGCTCTCAACTTCGAGACTTTCAAACAATGAACAACGTACATTACAACGTTACACTGAAATTGGCATTTCGTTTTAAGCAAGTGAACACATTAATGGTGGTTTGCTGCAAGTTATTATACTTGATAAATGATCTGAATATTGTCAACAAATTTAAGAACATGATGAGGTTGTTAACAAAAAGAACAATACGATCTACTTATCTTGTATATATTGAATAAATGACAAATGATGACACCAAAAATGTCCGGGTATTTTGTGGAAGAGATTCACGGAACCCAGAAGTTTTATCCATTTGATATTTGTGATGATATCGAAGAAAATGTCTAAGTTTTCTTTACTAACTGATTACCGAAATGAAACGAGAATGAAAATGAATTACAAATGGAAACTGAACATGAAATATCTGCCCTAGAAATCATACACTACAGACTACAGTACTATGATACCGCCTTCTAACTATGTTTAATGACAACATGTTGTCATACCTTCTTACCTCGGAATATCATAAAGATCCACAAAAATGTTCATTCTTCTTATAATCACTTCGCTGTGCATGGTTTCGTTTCGCCTGCACAGGTTCGAACAGCCAACAGCCACCTTTGAGGTTTCAAACTTACTTCTGATTTCACAACGTTTATCGAAGCTGTATTTAAAGCGCTGAGTCTCAATAACGAACCAATACCGCAGAGGGAGAGCAACGCATTTTACGATTCCTTCAGAGAAAAGGAGAGCGCGACACTGCGTTTATGAATAAATCATTAAAGCTGCGGGAAACTTCTTAGCGTGATACGCTTCCGAGATCGTCAACCCCAGGGGGTCCCGCAATACGAACAAAATGAATAAAGAAGCATCCCGACAAAAACAATGAAAGTTTAGCATCCCAAGTAAGCAATAAAATTCTCGTCCATCGGTCACGCCGCATAACAAAGACATTTTTATGCTCCTGGAACTGGGCCGATGTCGATTAAGACCAATGTCCACAATGTTTTAATTAGCAATTACGAAACTGCGACGTGAAAATTGTTAACCTAGACACCATATTGAATAATGGCAGGAGCCAAAGGTCCCCGATCCAGTCACGTCAGCATTATGTCGAATTAGAATATATGAGCTCAGTATAAAGTAACACGAAATACTTGACTTGGCGGAATTTTGTCGAGCAATCATTTTAATGTTATAAGAGTGTTGCCCAATAAAAATCTTACAATGCAATAACACTCTGTGATCGCGACTCTGTTGCATTATAATAACTTACAGTTACCGCCTACTGAATTTGCTATGGTAATTTTTTCCAGTCGACTCGGGAGTCCATAAGCAGTAGGGCAGGGGTCGGCAACCTACGGCCCGCGGGCCGGATCCGGCCCGCGGAGCACTATAATCCGGCCCGCGACGCTTCACTAAATTATAGTAACAAAACATCCGTTTTGACAAATATATTCTTTAGACTCAGTTATATTATAACCTAACAGTTATATAATTCACAATTACTCGTTTAATGAGCATATAATTTAATTATAATTAGGCAAATGGCAACAAAACGCAGAAAAGTTGATGCTAAGTGCAAAGGGTTCAATGGCGCTGATAATATTCAAATGGAATTTTATGATATGCAATGAGGAAATAAATCTATACTCTATTCGAGAGATGTATCACTGCTTGATATTATTATGAAAAGTACCATCCGTTCGGTTTTTCAACTTTCTAAAAATATGTGCGGCCCGCCAATGACTTGCAACCTTAATTTTGGCCCACGAGCGACAAACGGTTGTCGACCCCTGCAGTAGGGTATACAGCCAGTAGTGAGATTCAGCCGGTTCGCACCAGTTCTATAGAACCGTCTCGCGGAATTTTGTGAGATCAGCGAACCGGTTAGAATTACTAAAAAACATATAACAGAACCGGCCAAAAAATATGACTTCTGTGATGGAACCGGCTGACAAAAAAATTGAATCCCACCACTGTATACAGCCCACACCCATGCCTAAAAATATTCAAATTTGATGAAAGATTAATATTTTCAAGCAAAATTCCGTTTAAAATTTATACGATTTCAAATGCAGATTGGCTTCCATCCTGTATACATACCATCAATAAATCTCCGTAGTATAATGATGAATTTGAGTCCTAGCGAATTTTATGCAGATGCTTGGATATTGTCATATATAAATTTTTTAAATAAATTTTTCTACGTACATAGCCTCCCTTAATTAAAATCAGGCTGTATCCCGATGCACAATCGCATAAAATTCATGGAAATAATATAGCAAAGAATACTGCGCAACATGCAGAAGAGTTTTGATACCTAATGATTTCGTGATTTGATATAGCGATCGGCAGTCGGCACCTGACCCAGTCTTTGAAGTTCTTCCTGTACTTCAATCTCACTTATTGATGTCGTTATATCATACAAAAATGTTTTAAATATGTTGTTTAAATTACCGTCTCTTTCAATAATATTTTCACGCAAGAGTTGTTACCTTTTTATTATTCAAAAGTGTACAATGTACATAATTATTCCATTTACATTGTTATTTAAGGCCATGCTATGGGAATATTTAGAAACAACGGGTTCAAGTATGTGCGCTAACAGGACAACGGTCAATAAATAGTTTCAACAACTGGAAAAACCTATCTTTCGATACTGATCGTAATGTACAAAAGCAATCACACTACTGGATAGTTTAGAATGATTCGATACTCTTTTTCGCAGTTTAAATTCGATCGAAAAGTATCGTAGGTTACGCAGTGCTTGTGGAATTCGGGAGTAGCATACTATATTTTCGGTTTAATACGATCCATCAAACTGAATGCTTGACACAACAGTGTAAAACCAAGCAGCATACTCCCATAAAATGTAGTGAGTTTTCTTTTGCAATTACACATGAGGTCATGATTTCCCGATCTAAGTTCCAATGAAACGCAAAGCCAGCAACGCGCATCGTGAATACGCTTGTTATTTTGAATTAGTATACCTTGTGACTGCATGGAAATGCTATGAACACGAACATACAGACTTAGAGTTCCATACAATTGTTTAAATCATAATCCAAGTTTTCAACTAGAAAATGTAGAAACTAGAAAAATACAAAAACATTACAAACTACCACTGACGCAAGAAAAGCTGTATAAATACATATTATATATATATAACATGTGGTTCCATTACATTTGAACCCACGTACATTTGAACCCATGACAATTGCACCTGTATGCTATTGCACCTATGGAATTTTTTTTGTTTCACGGATAGTTAAACCCATACTAACCCTAACCCATGGGTTTTAGCACCCGCATATAGATTGAACCCGTGGATATACGCATGGGTCCAAATGTACGCGGGTTCAAATGTACGGTCACCATAACATGTATATATAGAAAACTCGAGGACTTAAAACAAATCAAGTTAATAATCTCCATTAAACGACATCCTCACAGTAATAGCCAGGATATTGATAGGAAGTATCAAAGGAGATGGGTTTTCAAATATGTATGACTATGAGCAATATCCATGGATTTATCATATTTTAAATATATAACAAATCGAAACTGATAAAGAGGCGGTCCAAAAATAATCCTGAAAATAAAACTATCCGAACTACTTCAGTCGAAATTTTGTGACAAACGGTATGGAACCTATAATTGGCAGGGAGTATGCTGTGTAGAGCATAATTGTGACCCGTACTTTGACTGTATTTTAAAGTTGCCATAAAGCAATGTTTAATCATAATAACAAAAATTGTTTGTCAGCTTTAATTATGCCGAGTGGTTTATTCGATGTTATTGCATAATTACTTTATTTGTTATTTAATTACTAAGTATTGATATTTTAAACTGGGTCAAGCTTCTCTGCACGATGGTGATTTAGAGTTTGGACTTATGCTGTGCTGAGTAGACATTTGCTTCTTGGCTCAGCTCGTTAGTAAGCAGTTTTGTCACTATTTTTACGTTCTTATTTTGGACCATGTAGAGCGAGATGTTGTATATAAATCGAAAAAGAAAATGATATTCACTTTTTCACAGCGAAAATATTTATCATACACAATTTCGAAAATGAGAAACAACAACCTGTTAACCACCCAATACACAAGCACAGCAGTATAAAGATGATAATAATTTATGCGCTGAGCTTTTTGACATGCTGGCTGCATAACCATGTAATAAATATTGTGAAAAAAATGAACAAAAAATAAGACAACGATGCTAAAATATGTGGACAATGTCGTATGAAAACGTTCCCATAGTTCATATAAAATTGTTCTCATGAATGAGAATGAAATAGCAAATGCGAAATAATGTCCGATAGGACCACTTTATGTCCAGTGGAACTAAATTATCAGTTATAGACTAAGTATGGAATATGAGGTATCAAACGAACTCAAATTTGTATATCGACCCTATGTCGCCCCCTATCCACAATGCTCCCGAAGTAGAACATTAAATACTCGCTTCTCGAATATATTTATTCCACGCGAAACGTGCTTTATCATATTGCGCTGGACAAATCGCAGACACAAGAGTTACCTACAATCCTAAGCTCTTACGAAAACAAAATGTATGCTCTTCTTTTCCAAAAATATCGAAATTTGAGATGATTGTAAACACTCTTTCGATTTACCTTTGATTTCACAAATTTAACTACAACAAACAGAAATATGGTAACTGAAATCACTAAACATAGACTCCATGGGAAGTAATAACATGTTCTCGTAACATAAGATATAAGTTGAATTGTTTAATAATATCGTGTATGTTGGTACAGCGACAAGAATTTAAATTAACGTAGGCAAGCGTTTGTAGCAGCATAGTGTTTATTAAGCTCAGTTCAATTACTGAGAATTTTATTGAAGCAGAAGCGTATCATATATTATTAGTCATTCCTCCGCTCCATTGAAAAATTTCCATCTTGTCGGAAAGATATTTCATCGCTTATTTCCGGGTTTATTCCTGAGTATAATTTCCATCATATCAACGAATATCAGTGAGACCTGATTGGCAACTGGCAATCTAATGTTTTTGCGCAACTAACTGACGACTGAACGGGAACATATTTAGTAGAAAGTGAAATGGACATGAAAGCTCTCCGAAAAGAAATCAAAACTTGTAAGCAATTTTTTAAATTATGTCTCTTTTTTTTAAAAACAGAGCGTTCAAATGGCACGGGAAATAAGAGCTAAATACATTTTATTTAACCTAATAATTTTATTGATAGTTTTGGTGTGTTGGACGAAACTTTTTTTACTCAGCTTATTTATGTCAGACTTGAAACCTAATCAATTCTTAGTTATAAATGTTCATTTTAAACGAGTAACAGACGAAACAAACGAGTAAAATGTTTTTTGCAATACAAAAAGACCATGTTGTAATATATATAACAATGGAGAAAAAATTGAGCGCCTGAATATCTAGTTCACCCTCGAAATGGGGTTAATTAATAAACGTTTTTCGGAATGTTTGTTTATAACAGAAAAAATTTACGGCTAGGTTGACTAAACAAAACATCACAAGCGCTTGTTTAATTGGATATACTCGCAAATATATTATCTGGTCTCATCATGATTGTTCTTTAATGTAATTTCAGTGCTTTTGTTGATAGTCAGCTTGACGGGGGTGTGGTCTGATTGTCCCGCAGCTGATATTACGGGCCTAACTGATGGCACCATTCCTAACCTTCAAACATCCGATAACAATCCATGTGCCCTTACTCCTGGCACAGTATGTTCATTTGTTTGTACTACTGGTGATTTCCAAGGTGGTTCTTCTTTAACTTGCGGCAGCGATGACCAATGGACAGGAGACTGCCCTCGTGCTTGTGAAGGTAAGAGCGTATATAGTCACATAATAGTTTTTGGACTTTGCATTAAGTAAATGCTTACAATTTAGCTTCTCACAGTATTATAATTATGTCTGTGCACTGGACTGTCGTTTATTTCATTATTGGGTTGTAAAAACTTGTCTATTGCACTAGTTTATACTAGTTTGAGATCGGGATAAAGCAAAAAGAAATGAGTTTAGATTTTTTGTGGTTGATTATAAAATGTGAATATTCAAAAAAGAATTTTTTTCCATAATAACCAATTAATTCCGAAATCACCATTTGTTCGTCAATTAGAGTCAATCATTATATAATCAGCTCTCTTACTGTTTTTATACCACAATACTAGGCGTCCTGGTATTATTGTTATTAATCCCCATCCTCATATCAATCATTTCATTGTAGGAGATCTCCGAATTGTTTTTTATAAATAGTGTTAATCATATGGCGTGGCTATTTTGGTCTCATCATCAAGTACTGAAAATTGAAATTGGCACAGTCGTTTCGGAGAAAAGAGACTTTGAGTACTTTTATTTCAGTACATCGCCAGTAACCCTGGCCTCCCCCACACAAAATAATAATAAAATACCTCTAGCAATTCCAATAGGACTAATAACAACAAAAATTTAGCAGATCGATCCATTTCGTGTCCAACGAGAATAGTCATTAGTTTTTAAAACGTGATAAATTGGGTCTAAGTTCGAACATCACTTTCAACTACTCTGGATAACCTGCTGAACGGGTACTTTGCTTAAATTTATTGTAAATAATCTCACCGATACTAAATTTTATATATTCGGAGGTATTCTTATTTGGATAGACATTAATTGTTTCATCGGATAATAATGCCATAGTTGTTGACACGAAATGTAGCCTACATATATACGGATCGTTTGGTTATTATTGGCCGATTGATCGTTTTAATATTACATTGTTGTTGGAATTCTTTTTTGTGCCCTTATTAGACAGGAAGTGTACATATGAATCGTTTTGTTATTATTATGTTGTTGTTGTTGGACACGAAGTATAACATATTGAACGTTTTGGTTTTATGTTGCTGTTGTTGGTATTTCACTACTTGTTGTTTTGAAAAGATCGCGTTTCTCATTGACTACTTGACCAATTGTTTTGAAGTTTTCAGTGGCTAAAGATTGCATTTTTCGCTAGAAGACTATTATTTTTATTTATTTCCAAAATTTCTGTTGCCCTTATGTGATTAATTTTTCACTCGGAATTTCGTGTTGTGACCTATTCAAAATAAGAAAAAATTATTTTTAGCGGTTCTGCGACCTCTCTCGAGCGGCTCCATTTGGTCTCCGTTCCCATATGTTCGAGCATCGCTCTCATGTTCTTGTCGTTACCGTGTAACAAACTCGCTTTTCGCATTTATTAATGAACCAATTGCTTTGGTATTTTCATTGGTTGAAGATTGTATTTTTCGCTACAAAGCTATTACTTTTATTGTTTTCAAAATTTTCTGTAGGCTCCGTGGGATTCGTTTGTCTATCTAAAATCTAAATTCTAATGTTTTGTGTGGTGACCTCAACTAAATTGAAAATTAATTGCATTGGTTCCGCGCCCGCGTATCTTGTGCTCAGCGATAGTCGGCGGATCTCGTGCCTAACGAAAGTCGAAATATTTTTTATGGATTACAATAGACTACGGTGCCAAATCTGATAATCTGTACTACTTCGTTTTGGTTTGCGTGTCCATATATTTGAGCATCGATCTCTTGATTTTTTAATTCAACAATTTCAATTTCAGTATTTACTTGTGCCGCGGCCGACCTTGACGCCATTGGAGTTACGTATGATTGTGGTATAGCTACGAGTCCTTACCCACTGGAAACCGTGTGCACCTTTTCGTGTGATTCATCGTACGAACTACAACGTTCTCAGAAAGCCACTTGCATTTTCTCCAGTACAACATATGCCACAGAATGGTGCTTTGACGGATGGAACCAACCAGTTTGTGAAAGTGAGTTTTTTGTATTTTTATCGTTCCAAGTATGCAATTATGATAAAATGACCTTTGCCGCTCTGAAAAAGCAAATTGAAAATTGGTAAATTCTACTTTATCGAAGAAAAAGACAATTATTTATCAATACGTACTGATACGGTATTAAAAATCTCTCCATAAACGGCCATTGCATTATATCTAATAGATCCTGGTTTTTGATTTTCTAAGCACATACATCCACATGTCTCCTACCCAAGGAAACAGTAAGTGTTGGAGCTATATAATATGTTTAAAATTAACGACTGTAATTTCAATCTATATTAGAGACACGACACTTGGAACAATTCGAGACAACACTACTTTGAGCGTGATAATAGAAAATTCACCAAAGCAAACAATTTTTTCTTTATTTTAGCATAAACATAAATAGCGTAACATACGTCGTTAGTGTGAATATTATATATACTATGTTAAATTTATTTTTAATTCCTCTCGTTCCTGTTCATGTTTCAGCTAAATCCTAAATTCTACTTTTAGGAATTGGGTGTGCCGATATTGTTATCGAACATGGTACGTGTACATACACTTCTCCCCGCGTTGGAGCAGAAGCCACCTGTACGTGTGATGAAGGCTTTTTGCTGGAGGGTACCTCGCCGGTTACTTGCACAGCTAATGGATTAATATCAGTAAACTGGGATCCAGACCCACCAAAATGTGTTCGTAAGTATATCTTTGTTTTTAGTCGGTACATGCAGAATTTACAATAAAAAAAATTCTAAAATTTGTAATGTGTACAATTTTATTTTTTGCGTTGCTATGTTGATGAAAAGTATAAAACAAGTGATTCTCAAATTTTTAAGCCGCGACCCCTTTTTTAGAATTTGTCAGGTCTCGCGCCCACCTTAAAATAACTAGCTAACAATGAGCTAAAAATAACAGACAGTAAAGCGAAAATATGTCTTATTCAAGAAACACGTTGAAAATGGATGGAACTTAAATATCCAAAATGAGGCGGGCAAGATCAAATATTACAAATATTTTTATTTTGCTTCATGTCCCTGCAAAAAATTGTCCACGCCCCCTCCCCTCGCGGGGCGCGCCCCACCGTTTGAGAATCACTGGTCTAAAACAAAAAAAAATGGGCCATTGTGGACAAAGCTATATGAAGTAAAATATAAATGTAGCAGAATAATAGAAATGTAATTTGATTACCTGGCAAAGCAAGTTATGACACTCAAGCTATATATAAATAGAAAACTGGGTAATTGCGTGTATAACTAATATCAGTGACCCGATATAAACTTGCTATATGAAATCCTGCACTTTTGCCGCTACGTTGAACCAGTTATTAAGTTCATATAACACACTGAGAACTGTTGCCCCAGCAGCAGACCTCGAGTTATTCATTGAATTCATTGTTCTTTGTTTTTTACAATTTCCATTATATTTACAGCTTGCAAGAAATAAAGAACAGAAAATAATGATTTCAAAACTATGAGGGGTGTAATATGTCCATATAAAGTATCACTTGTTTTCTTAAATGTTATAACTGCTTTACATGTAAAATATGTCATGAAGAAATTATTACATGCAATTATTATTAGCGTTCCTATTATATATTAGGGCTATTATTCAGTATACGGAAATGTTTATTTTTACGTCGAGGTGTCCGTTGTATTGTGTCTGTATCCGTTACATTGGATGATATATTGAACTTGAACATGGGTATTATTATTGACAATTATGCCATATTCGCACTGATTGTGATACGAATTTCCATCGAAAATTCACCTAAAACAATGTTTACTTTTCGTGAACGATGTATTTTTTCTTGATCCTGATATGTGAAATAATAATTTCATTTTTAAAGAAAGAAAAAGAATTTTTAGAGAAAATGATGCAGAATATGCTTCACTATTCAAAATTCTCTCCATTTCAATTATGATTTCTGGCATAGAGAATATATCCGATGAGCCGGGTTAATGTTGAACATATTCTGGTTTCCGCTGAAAGACTTCTTCACTTCAAATGCCATATAAACATGACCCTCCGTGGGTCGTGGGTATCCTGGATACCACAAGATATACGGAGATTTGTTGGTGTCTCTCAGAGTAACGAGACCATTCTGTAAATACCAATAATATAATGTGAAAAAGAGACTCAAGTTGTCTCACGATATCTAATATTATTGTTTTTCATTGACAAACAGCTGCATCACATATATAATAACTATACCAAAGCTAGCCTGGGCAATTTTATTTTGTAGAATACCCATATATATACTTCTATATATTGAACATGAAGTTGACCTATGGATCCTTTTGTTATTATGTTATTCTTCTTGTTGGTATTTACTTTTAACGTATAAAAAATCGCTTTTCTCGTCAACTACTGGATCAATTAGCTCGAAATTTGCAATGATCAATGATTGTATTTCTCGCTATAAGGCTATTAATATTATTTTTTTTTCAAATAATTTTGTGGGATTCATGTGATCCGTTTTTCAATTCTAAATTTTGTGTCATGACTTTTTGAAAATTGATACAGATAATTTGTGTATCACTTACAAAACTTTTACTATCTGCACAAATTGTATCCTGCTTGGTGTTCATACTTTTTTTTTTTTTACAATTTATTGATTCCATCCTCAATCACGTGCAGTAGTAAACCCACTCAAACATCTGCATCATATGCTAAGTGCACGACCTGTATAAAGTGCACTTCGAATAAGTTACCCAAACTTGAATGATGTTGGCCCAGGTAACAAGTTGTTAGTAGTACAAAATCTGTTTTTTTTACAAAGACCCCGCCAATGCTGCTACTAATGCAAAAAATGTGAGATTTGAGAAAAACGTAATGCGAGTGTGTAACTTGTATAAGTGGCCCATAATCTACGCATTTTGCTAAATAATGATGTAGCCAATTAGTTGTTATGTAACTACAAAACTACACCAAATTGGCCCAATTCGTGAGAAACTCATGAAAACCAAAATCAATTATTCCCGTTATAGCAATTATCAATTTCTCAAAATCCAATTTCAAGATTTAATAGCCTTTCGGTGCCATCCCATGTAAAAATAAAATTTATTTCCAGTAATATTCCAATAACGTAAATTCGAAATATCTTGTTAAAACCAAATTATCCACTTGAGAACAATTTTTTACATCTCATAATTGGAGTAAGTACGTGACCAGGAACACGGTGACTTGGCAATAACAAGTTAATTGCTAGTAATGAACTTCAAGAAAACACTTTTAATAATGTTTGATTATAGTGAACCGAAAGCTAACCAGAAACCGGAATGACGCGTGATTCTTTAATCATTAATGTAAAAATCTGTTTCTTTATACTATTTTAATTGCTTGGTAGAAAGCTATATATTCAGCAATGTGTTTTGTGTTAATCAGACTAGATTTGATCAAATTGTGTGTACATTGTATTTCTGTATATATTGTCGGAATTGCAATAAACTCATAAGGTGTTTTCAAACGTCTCCTTACTACAGCCGAAGGCTATCGACAGATAGACAGTTCGAGTTAACGAACGCAAGACAAAACTATTGTCAGTCAATGCTGGAGTTATAATACATAAACCAGACCAATCTACAATAATACTGCGTGAATAATGCCCACAAAGCATGTATACGTGGAACCAAAACTTACTGCATTTGAATAGGTTCCGTCAATCCAAAACTGTGCGTATGTACTTGACTGCCAAAGCACAAAACCATCGTACACAAATCTGAAAAGAGCACCATACAACTGACGACTAGTAATTGATGCCAAATGTCCACCGTGTAATTCACACTTGCTGACAGCATTTTCGTAGCTGACTTTCTCTTCTAACAAAAAGTAGCAAATTCCGGCGCGATACAGTCCATCACAGTCTTAAAAATAAGTTTGACCAATTTAATATAAATTCTATTATGGTATTGGTCTATCTCTATATACGACTCTGGAAATTCTAAATACGTAATAGAATATTTTTTGTTTTAATAATCCGCCTTTTCTGCTTGCAACTGAAACTTGTATAACTCTTCAAAATATTGCCACACAAACATGACAAAGACATTGCTTAATCGTTGATTTTTAAGAAAAAAATCTCTATAAACTCTTTTTTCAAATGATATAGTGTTTTATCTGCAAATGTTGTGCAATTGATAGTGTAGTCCTCTGTTAGAGGTTTTAATTTTTACATAAGACGGATTTCAAGATTACTGTCTTTTTTAAGCATTGAATGGTATATTTAAAAACACGTTGCGAGATAAATCATATGGACCATAAAAATATCGGCCACCGCTACGAAAAAGCCCACTTTTTATTTCTTTTTCTGTGATATTAAAAACACTAAGTAATTGCAAAAATTAGCTTCTCACTTTTGAAGGTTTTCAATTCTTCGGACAAATTTTGCACTATTACAGATTCTTCTATATTGCCGAGTGATCCTTTGTCACCCTTAGGTCCTCGTTTACCAGGAATTCCTTGAACTACTTTACTATGCAGGTTCTGCTTGCTCGGATCAAAAATTCCTTTGAAATTCTGGCACACTGTGTAACTGTTTTCTTCGGTGGATATTACATTGCGCTGGCAAAACGCGTATTTGTATTGCAGGCGAAGTAGCAAGAATATAATTGTCAAATAAAAAAAGGTCTTCATATCAATACCTTCCCGACACAATGAAAAAGTACCTATATAATTGATACTACACTTTAAACAGAAGTTGAGAAACATAAACGTACGACAAACACTATTTTCAATGTGAAAAACAATTTGCATGGAAAATGGTGCCCTCTGTTGCACAGTAGCCGTGTAATATTTTAATCGCAAGGATTCAGTAGGTATTTCATTTCACACGTTAGTGAAGGCAAAACTCATACTGGCGACTCGGCCATTGCAAAAGTGCGCATCGCGAGGATTCATTATGATGACACATATTGAGAAACAAACGTTTCTCCCAACGTCGAAAACATCTTGGCTAGAATATTTATTAAATTCGTACCAGTTTTCTTGAAAACATGTTTTCAAACAATATATCTCAACCACTGTTTCGGCAAGAATATTTGAAACTCCTGACGCAAGAAAAGAGGTTTTTCGTATTGAATAGGTAATAATCTGTCTTCACAACGTCTATAGCATGCGATATTTAACTCTGAAGTACGTGACACAAAATTTTTTTGCTCAGTATGAAATATCTACACGATGTCACTCCAAATACACAAAATTCATTTGTTAATCGAACCAAATTTTAAATCACAAATTTATGTTTGGACAAACCTAAATTCTGTGCTTATCCTCTGTCTTAACTATATTGCTATTCACATTACTCATATGTTATGCGAGGTTGAATGAACTGCTGAAAAGTCATACACAGCGATAAGAAAAGTGATGAGTAAAGCTAGCAGTGCGGAACAAACACGTAAAATAGCATACCAAAGTGTGGTGCACAAATTCAAGCCTCCGGCATGAATAACACCAAACGATTTTAAATTTCGAATTGACATAACTTAAGCGGATCAAAATTATAATATTGCATATTTAGTAATGTAAACACGAATCTCCTAAAATGTAACAGTGAACCTGAATTTTCAGCTAATATCTCAACTTTACCGTTGCAAGCGGCTCCAGCAAATCGATTGATCATGTAGCACAGTAGCAACTACCTGAACACTTTTTGAATTGTAAATATTATGCGTCTATACGAGAGTATCTCTGTCTACTCTAAATAAATTATGACATGTACTTCGCTGATGCAAATTTCGGTGAGAATGTGATAACTAGTCTCTAAAAATGTGATAAGTAGTATAGATAAGTTAAATCATATTGTTCTTGTTAAGAACCATAGCAATGAAGTTGTTTGAAGCAGAAGCACTACATTCATAAACTTTATTGCATCATTTACCTGTCTTGTTTCGAAAACTAACAATGATGAAAACTTTACTGAACATGAAACGTTGATTGATTGGGCTAAAGTCTAATTAAAAAACAGAGATTATACACGGAACAAGTTATTTAATAAAAAGCATTGGACAGAAAAGGACAAACAATGTATTATAAGAGTAAGTTCAGAAAATGAGGTAAAAATTCTCCTAGCATCTGGAGTCTTGTCCCTGAAAACGAAAATATCGGTTGGAAACCGAAGACTTATCGATCGATAGTTAGGGGATCCCCCGAAACAGAAACTGCAGTTTCGATTCATCCGCTCTTGTAACTTGCGCACTGCGCATCGCACACACACGCACTCGGCGGGTCTCAAATTTCTCTCACTTTACAAAAATCTAGATCACTATATCAATAATTGATTGATAACTCGCTAATTATACGACATAATTCGCCCAAAATCAATAGGCTTCTGGTTCGAGATAAGATTAATGCACATGCAAAATCTGGAGCAGATTCAATCTCGCTTTCGTGAGATATCGCGTGAATCTAACAGACAAACATACAGACAATTACCTATCAACATACTTACCGATTAAAATCGATAAGTAATAATTGAAAAATAGCAATTCTTTCTACCATTTTGTGTAATGACGATGTAGCGAGTACAAAGGGATGGTACTGTGTATTTCAATGCTTTTAACCCCTTATTGGCAATTGTGTGTGTTATTTGTCTCAAACAAGGTCGATTTCATTTTCTTTTAATATATATATTTTCATGCAACGTTTTAAGCGAAAAAGTTGATGACATATTTAATTTCCACCCAGCTCGAGTGTTGATTTTATCGTTCATGGTTAGTTAGAAAATTGGTTTTACTTGCGTAAGGGTTTTAAGCGCATTTCGTTATCTGTTATTTGGATTACCGGTAATTCGATTGTGCAACTTACATTATTTGGCATTGTGCAATATGCGAATATTTGGCATTACAATCTATTGTGTGCTTACTGACCTATAAAAATAGGTTCAGATTGAGGTTTACTCCGCTAAAGTACGTTTTAATAGAACTGGGGTAAAGATACGAAAAGTAGGGTCAACTTTCCCTAGGCTATATGGCAGGGGTCGGGAACCCATGGCTCGCGAGCCATATATGGCTCTTTTGGTGACGGCATATGGCTCCCAGAAAAATCTAATATTCTAAGACTAAGCTTACTATTGTTACGAAATTTCAAACACTTTTATAGCCAATTTTGGCAGAAAATTCCCAATACGTTTGAGAACGCGCGCCCAGCACATGTTTATGATATGTAAGATAATCACCAGACAGGCATTGTGACAAACAAGGGGATTCTGGAACATATATTGTGACATCACAAAGCGATAGAGTTTTAAAAACACTACGGAGATGCCTAAACGAAAAAGGGTGATGAGTACCGTAGATTTCAACTTGGGCTGCAAGTGAGCAACCGTTCAAGGCCCGCAGCGACTACATGCAGCATCAGAAATCTCATTAAATGTATATTGACATTGTATGTGTTGACTTTTGCGTAAACATTTCAGGCCTGATTAAGTGAAGAAATGTTATATGGCTCGCACGGAAATGCAATTGAAAATATGTATATTTTATGGCTCTCTTGACCAAAAAGGTTCCCGACCCCTGCTATATGGCATGAAATTGCTGCATTTAGATAATTTTACTCTCGCTGTTCATAGCGCTAAACCCATTTTGATAATTACAGTACAAGGTAATGGACCTTTCCCCGACCTTTGATCCCCGAAAAATACTTCCTATACTTTACCATTGCAAAATTTTCGTGGCTATTTTAAAAGTGCTTTTGCGATTTAGCGCCTGTGAAATAATTATGTGTTTCAAACCATCATTATGATTCATCACATACCACAATCTGCTTTTCCAAAAGTACCGGTAAAGAATTTTAGCCTAGTCTATCACAGCTATTTCTACACTAATTTTTACTACTGCAATTTAATAAAAACTCCTAGGAAGACATAGTGATCATTGAATTATCTGATTTACATTTAAGTTTCCGAAACACAACCAAAAACTAACGAATAGAGTTCTAAAACGCGAAAACGAGGAGGTACTGTTTACGACCACGCTTGAAAATCTGTCTGAGTGAGAAAAGTGTCTGAGCGAATGCGAAAAGGGAGCATTGTTACGTCACTTTTGCATCTTGTTGATTGGCCAATATCACGGAGTAAACAAGGAAGTCGATGCTCGGGGAAAGGTCCATAGATACCTGGAAATATCGTTTGATCAACATGATATGGAGCTCCGCAGATCTGTCGCAGTGATGCTATGTTGGGAGCGTTATTTGATTTTTTACCATATTCACCTCACTAAAGAACATCTATAATTACTAGGCTATTACTATTTTTCAATACATCTATATGATGCATGGTCTACATCTACGAACATCGTTCATCTATAACAGCATGTTGTTTGGTCACATGACTGGAGCGACGGCGTTGAATGATCACAAACTGCGGTCCCGTTCGTTGTGAATTATCGATTTTCCCAAAACCAGTGGCACATTCGTATTATTTTAAACACGCGATTACTTCGTGAGACTCGTACTTTACCGCACCTCGAATCAAGATCAGTTTGTCGTCAGTTCTATTTGTCAGCTTGTGACTCGTATATAATGTGCGCGTTGTTGCTTTAAGGAATTTTTTTTTTAATTTTACTTGGTATATTAGACTTTGCAACTTTAAAATACATTGACAGTTCACAGCACAATATTGAGCACAGTATATAAACCTCGGAATGAATTAAATTAGAGCGATTCGCGATACGCCAAATTTAAGCAATGTTCTGCTATTTAAGTAAACTTTTACTCAAGAACGACATCATAACCTGGAGTACCAACTACCAGTGGCGGCGCGTTAATAGGGCCAACCGGGGCAATGCCCCGGTTGTTTTTTCGGTATAATAAAAAATATTCGAAAAATACCTCAATATCGGTTGCACAGACTGTCTACACTAGCCATATTCTCCCGACATGGTTCATTTTTCGCTGGCAAAGCCTTCGCCGAACGTCGACGGGGCGACGCCGATTTTGCCCCGGTTGCTCATTGTATATCGTATTCTCTCTTTTATCTTCCACTCGCCGCGTTTGTCTCGTTTGTTTTCTGTTTCTTTTACTAAATCATCGGGGCTAGCCCCGAAATTATGACGACACAATGCCGACGTTTCTTACAACAACGTGTTGACATATTCACGCATTCCTTCTCGTTCGTTGGTTGCTTGAAGCGTTGATAGTTTCCTCGCCTTCGTTTTTGTCGCTTGTTTAGCTAGTTGAATCAGTTAGAGACCTTTAGTCCATTTGCTTTCCACATTCCTTTTGAGCTCCTCACTTCTTTCCGGCTTCGCATTTCTTAGCCTTAGACCTCATAATGAATAAGGTTGATGCACTACTTCGCACTCCGTTTTCGCAGCTGCCGCTGGAACAAAATTTAGAGGTACAACGTCTTGGGCCTTATCAACCAAAAAATTGTTCACTGGAACAATCCCATGACGGAGGAAAGTGTCGGCGTACATTCTGCGCAGAAACTTGGTATAAAAAACACGAATGGTTGTGTTACAGCGAGGACAAAAATGCACTTTTTTGTTTTTATTGCATACTTTTTGCTACCGCCCGTGACTCACGTTTGTGTAAATTTGGTTTTAGAGATCTTAAACATCTTTCCGAGCGTGCCAGGAATCATCAATCTTCTATGGAGCATCTGGACAATGCAGTAAAATACCGAATATTCGGAAATGTTAATATTGCAGCACAGTTGGATGAAGGACGCGCGGTTTCTATTCGTCGGCACAACCAAAACGTCGAGAAAAACCGCCATGTTCTCGGTCGATTGATAGATGTTTTGAAGTTCATTGGTTGTCGCGAGCTGTCCCTCCGTGGGCACGATGAACGGGCTGGCTCTTCTAATAGAGGGGTATTTTTGGATATGGTGGAATACACCGCATCCCTAGATACAGTATTGAGAGATCATCTTGATGACGCAACTGTTTCGAACGGGACATCTAAGGATATCCAAAATGATTTGCTCGACTCAATGTATAAAATTTATTTCAACATTTGGCTCTGGAATTTGAGAATTGCCAGTTCCTTTCGATTCAGTCTGGCGAGACAACTGACATCACGTGCGTTTCCCAATTGGCTGTGATTTTTCGGTTTGTGAAAGATGGTAAACCTACCGAGAGATTTCACAGCTTTGTACCAATCGTTGATCGCACGGCTTGCGGGATATCGGCTGTACTGAAAGAAGTGTTACAGCCTTACAACGCGAAGTCAAAATTGATAGCTCAAAGCGCGGCAGTCATGAGTGGGTCGAAACATGGTGTTCAAGTTTATATAAAAGAAGATTTTCCTCATGCGCATTTTTTACATTGTTATGCACACCAATTTAACCTCGTTAATAAAAATATGTGTCTTGATACCCCTCTCGTCCGTATATTTTTTGCAAATGTTCCGGGCTTTTCTTCATTTTTTTCCGTTTCGCCGAAGCGCTCTGACCTCCTTCGCCAGATATGTAGCCGCCGTCTCCCAACTTGTGCACCAACACGTTGGAACTTCCAATCACGCGTGGTGCAGGGCGTATCCGAAATTAGGTCTGAGCTCATCGAGTGTTTCAATGGCATTCAGAGCTCTCCGGTTTGGGACGAACGCTCTGTGAGGGAGGCGGCAGGTCTAAAGCGTCTGCTAGAAGATGGTGAGTTTTCATTTTTTCTCCACAATATTCTATCACGTGGATGTATTAAACGGCGCATTGCAGTCAAGGCTAATGGATGGAGCGTCTGTGCAGTCGTGTATTTCAGTCTTCTGCAATGCTGTATCTCGTATCCGGGAAACAACAAAATACGACGACACATAGAGTTATGCTTTACGCCGCGGGCAAACAACGCAGCGTTTGATTTTGTCTGCAAAGGAATGCTGTGATATTCTGGTGAATCAAATAGGCGATCGTCTGCGCACTGAACACCTTGCCGCGTTCTCTTTGATGAACCCCAAAAATTTTTCAAAATTTGCACGTCAATTTCCCATCTATTTGTTGG